ATTGTTAGAGCACAGTTTAATTTTAACTTATTGCAATGATATTTTCTTAATAAGCTATATTAAATGTACATTTTGTTATAATTATTTAACTTAGAAAGAGGATAAATAATAAAGTCTTATTGTTTTGCATTTATGTATTAAGGTATTGTGATAGCACTTTCCTTTTTTAGCATTTTGTAATTAAATTTTTCTCAACTTTATGTGACTATTAAGTGTTAATAATGCAATGTCACCCCTATCAATTAAGTTTTTATTTCAATGTTTTTATAGTATTAAATTATAAATTTTCTATTTCAATTTCATCTCAAATCTTTAACTTAATATTTTGTGTTATGCTATGGTACCACAATTCTATTTTTTGGGCTTTCTCCACCTTTGCCCCAAAATACTTTTTTTTCTTCTAATATTATTTTTAAAGTGACTGTAAATATTGTAGTGAATTAGAGTATATTTTAAAAAATACAAAAAGCTTATTTTAAATTGTTTTCTTTTGCATTGAAATGTTTTGAGACAATGATTAAAACTGAACATCACTGTCACTTTACATTATTAATGAATATATATAGTTTGATATTTCAGTATTCAAAAATAATTTAAAAACCCTGGGATGAACAAAATTCAAGTTAATATACCAAAGCAATATTATTTATAACACATAAGGAATTAATTTGGTGGCCATATTTTCTCAGTACATAAATGTTATTTCAGACAGTAAAAAAAAAACAGCTTTATGCCCCAATGCCCATCAACAAATGAGTGGACAGAAACGGCTGTACACCCACATAATGATGACTATAATACAGCACTGAAAAATAATGAACTTGTAAACACTACATAACACAGATGAGGTGGAAGATATTAAGCTGAGTGAACTATTTCAGTAACAAAAGATTATTACTACATAGGACCAATTATAAAAACAGGACAAAGAGAAGGGGAGAGCAGGGAAGGAATGGATAGATAATGAACACTACACTAGAATGGGAGAAGGGAGGTGCTATCGTAAGGAAATGGATGATTAGACATTGTGTATATGGCAATTAAAATATAGATTCAAATATGGATCACAAAGTGAAATCGGGGAGAGGCGGGAGGAAAAAGTGTATCAGTGAATGAATGAAAACCCATCCTTTCTGCAAACTTTCATTAAAATCACAATAAAAAGAAAACAAAACAGTTCAACAGTTTTAACTCAGCTTGAACCAGTTTAGTCATGGTAGACAAAATGAAATGGAATCAAATTGTTAAAATGGTGAACTGCAACAATAATCACAACAAAAGAATTTACAGTTTGACACTCTGTTCAAAACAAAACAAGTAATATTGACACGTGGATTCTTTTGTTCAATATTTATCTCATGCCATCTAGGTGTCAGACAATTTTGTATTACAAATACAGTGATTAAAAAAAACAGTAAAATAGTAAAAAAGATAGACTTCTAAGTTTTGGTCATGGTTTAGATGGGACGGAGGGGTGGGAGAAAAACATACTAATTGAAGAAACATAAGCCTAAAATTACAATCACCTTAAGCACAACATAAATGGGTTGACAATAAATCGGGATGGGAACGGTGTTTACTTAAGGGTAAATTTTCATTATAATCCAATTGCCTGGTTTATCAATGAATGCTACTATTTTTAAAATAATTTTAGTTCAAAATAATAAAGAGGGCTCTATTCACAAAGTCAAGGGGAGAATTAGGGAGTTGTGACATATTTTAGGTAAAATTAAACTGCTAATTATGCATTCTCAGTTAAGAGAGAGTCTGCAAAACTCACTCCTGGTGGTTTGCAGAAATTTTAAAGGCCCACTCATTAATTACACGGGCCTTTGTCTCTAAATGTGAAAATTTATTCACATATGAACTGATAAAACTAAAAAACTCTCATTGTTGTCTATCCAATTCCAGCAATTCAGAGCACTCCTACAGCACAAAACAGCCCCCACAATTTCCAAAGTTATAGATCTTTATGGAAGCCAAAAGGCTTTCTTGGTCTCCTGGGGAACAGCTGTTGGGTTCAAACTGATGACCTTTTGGTTAGCAGGCAAATTAAATTAACCATTTGCATCACCAGGGGTCCTAGTACTGACAGTGTGAATAAAAAAAGCACAGGCTCTACAAAAAGAACAGAAAATCATCCCCAAACCAAAAGACACATTCTACCTTTACACACTAGCTCCTAGGTTCAAGTTCTGACCTCCCTTAGACATAGCTTCTCCAAATGGGTGCCAAAGGCAGATTCCACTGATCAAAGAGGGAGCAGCAGCAGTACTTCCTGTGCAGCCTACCGAATTAGGAAAACATGTTTCTGCTAGTTCAAGGAAGCATGAGGTTTCTACAATTCTAAAAGTGGGCATTTTTCTACGATAGCTCAAGATTTATATATACTTGACATGTAACACCTGAAGTTACAACGCCAAAGAGACAACCACTTGAGTGGCTGAGTGCAAGAACAGCTATCAAAGCTAAAGGTTAAAGCATGCTTGCTCTCAATACTTGTCTTTCCTAGATTTGCCTCTTCCTTTTCCTATATGGGTTCCTTCCTAACCCAAAGAGGAAGATCTGATCCCACTGAGAAAGGGGCAAGTTTAGTACTGGGGTCTTAGATATCTTAACTCCTTCCCATTCCACCCCTTGAACCCACCTGTCTTTTCCCCCAAAGCAAATTGGAACCTGCTAAATGAATGCCTGAAAAAGAATACAAATTGGCATTTTAAACTCAAGTTCCCGGAATTCTTGTGGACAACCCTCTAGATTCGGGTGAGGGTAATTTTCTGGATAAATTAATTTCTGAAGCTCATCTGGGTTCAAGCTCTTCTACAGGCACTTTCTGAATCACTCTGATTACTAGGCTAGAAAAGTACATGGAATTCAAGCGTTTGTGTGAAAAACAGGCCTAGGACATTACTCAGTAGAGCCCAACCCCGTACACATTTTGTTGCACACATATAATTGAAGAATGATTTTGATTTTAAAGAAATACAAACTCTGAGGCACAGAATTCAAAATCAAGGCAAGACAAATGGCTGAGGCATATTTAAAGATCTGGCTCTCCTAAACGTGTCCTCTTTCCACAACACAATGAAAAGTCAGGATAACTCTGAAATTTATATCAGTCAAGGCTTTTGGAAAATTATATAGATTTCCAAAATTCAACTTAAGTATTGCAGCTTTGCAGATATAAAAAACAAAAGTATGAAGTTTTTAGGAGAAAGACCAGAAGCTTTACATTCTTTTTCAGGAGTAGGTGGAAAATCAGGATTGAAGTTTCTGTGGAGCTTGGTTTCTAATTGCTGCCAGGAGGGATGTCAAAGCAAAACTGGAACAGATATAATAAAAATTAAGGCGTGAACACAATGACTTCCAAGAGGGTGCTCACCAAGATTCTAAGTGTTCTTGGGTGTTCAGTTCCCAGAGCATCAGAGGCAAAGTCAGTACATGGGTGTATAAGAAGCGTCACAACAGGGAGGCATCAATGCCTAGTAAGCACTGCATACTCACCGTCCATCCAGGTAGTTCTGGGGCACACATAGAGAATTTAATCTTCCAACCATGCACAAGTAGCTGGGGTAAGTAGAGAAAGAATGGCTCGAAGGATGGAGCACACAAGAATGGGGATGAAGAGAGACCACTGGGCAGCAGATGGAGTTTATTATTCTAGGTTTCCAGAGTTCAAATGTGTGTGGTTTTAAAACAAGAAACTACAGGCGAGCTCTGGTGGCCTAGTGGCAAGAAGCTGCAACTACAGTGTCAGAAGTGCACTGTTCAAATCCACCAGATGCTCTGCTGAAGAAGGACGAACAATCGCCTCCTGTACCAGTCAGATCCAATTTGACGGTACACACATAAAAAAAAAACAAAAACAAACAAACAAAAAAACTACAGAAGAAATATGAGATTAATGCATTTATTCCAAGTAATTAACACATTAAAAATAAACTTCTCCAAGCAAACACACAAATTCTTTAATCTTAACAAAATGTACAACCCAAAACATCACATTACGGTGGAAATAACTTGGGGAAGAGGGAGGTAGAGAAAATACACGAGTTTGTGGAACAGAGAACAAGTCCAATCCCAAGACAAGTTTCAGACAGTCTCCTTTTTCAGAACAGAAATGGCTGCTAAACAATTTAAACAAAGTACTATTGGATCACAATACAATGCACAAAAGGCTGTTTCAAAAAAATGACCCCAAAGTATACATGCTTCTGAAATTGAGTCATCAATAAACCTTACCGATTTGTTGTCTTCCAAAGTGAGTCTGCTAGATTTTCTTTCATGTTTTTTGAGGTCATTTCCAAATGGGTTGGTTTAGCAGAATCATCTTCAGCAAAAGCAACACAGTAAACAAGGTGCCACAGGGGAGCAAACAGTAAACAAAAGAGCTATTCACGCTGCATTTCAAACAATGTTAAGGCAGGCCAATCCAAACCAGAAGTCTAAGAGATGAACAATTCTTGATCAATGGAAGTTTTCCATTTCAGCAATCTTTGTGGTGTTTTCCCTAGAAACCCATCAGCTGCCCAGGAAATTGAGTGGGTCAACAACACAGTAAGTGGAGAAGTCAGTTCCCTGGGACCCTCCTCCCCCACATTCCAGAAATGGCAGCATCAAAGCCAAAATACAATCAAAGCACACTATGTGAACAATCATATAGACATTTGGTTTTAATGACAAAGTAGGAGAAAATAAACTGTCAAAATGAACAAAATATACCTTTTTACAGATATGTATAGTACGTATGACTGATTTATCTGGTATTTTAAAGGGAAAGGAATAAAAAGGAAAGGAGGTAATTCTTTTAGCTTTCATGGACATGTCCTGTAAGATGCAGACTGCATCCCTTGATGTAGGTTCCAGGGGAGACAGCAAAATGGCCCTGGGTCACCTGGGCACCCAATTTCTAGATGCCAGTATGATTTATACCCACAAGTAGTTCTGGGTGTGAATTCTCTCAATTGTGAACACTGGATTCCATAAGGTCCTGGAAGGCATCAACTGCAGCTTTTTGGGCAGGCATCTATCTGCTGAGAGACAGTATCACCTTCAACTACCTGGTGCTGCAGAGGTGTCTCTGAACTGTCCTCATCTATCTGAGGAATGACTACCTCTGCTATAGATGCGTTGTGGATTTCTAGCTGTAATGGTCCCATCTCCAAAGAGCTACACTCAGGAAGGTCAGGGGGCTCAGACTGAGGAGAACATAGCTTGTCTTTCTGGACTCCAGATGTCCGTGTGACAAAATCAACAAGGTCTGGAAGGCAAGGAGAGGGCCCAAGGCCCGAAGAGTTATTTGTTTCGGATTCCAATCTGAGTGACTCTTGTTTATCCAAGCGGGAAGTTTCTTCTATTTCCTCAGACATCATTCCTCCTGCTAATAGGTCAAGGGCCTGGGGTACTACCTCTAGGCCTCCAATACCAAGGTCAACATCTTCCATAGGCAAGCCAGTTTTCAAAATGTTAGGAGGGATCCTCCTACTTGTAGGATTAGACAGATTTTGCTCATCCTGTGCTTCCAAATTAAGCACCAGGGGTTTTGAAGAATCTAACGGAAACCTAGAAATGGACGGGATTGGTTCAAAATCAGCAGAAGTAGAAGGAGTACATCCTGCAAATGAAGTAGAATTTTCTTGACGTACTTTCCGAGAGAGAGCAATTGGGGATCTATGTGCAGGTTCTATCTGAGTATTGCAGAAATCAACACATGCATCTCCCAGATTCCCTACGGCAGCAAGATCCTCTAATGTTAAGTCTGTAGTTTCAAAGTTTTCTGAGGGCTTATTTTCTACTGTCACTGTTAATTCTGGATGGACATCTTTTAGCTCCAGAGCTTCTGATTCTGGTTTTTCTGAGTTCTGCCAGGTCTCTGGCTTCTTTTCACTCCAAACAGTCAGTTCACAGATCATTTTACCCTCAAAGTCTTTGGATTTTTCCTTCTTAAGTCTGAGGCTTCTGTACCTAGAAAGTACAGAAGCTGACTCTGGAGCCGAATTTTCCATCCATTCTTCACCACTAACTCCTCGTCTCTGTGGACTATTTGTTAAACACATATCTGATCTGATTGAGGACTGAAGCAACAGTTCTGGTGCAGAATTTTTCACAAGTTTGTTCTCTGGACTCTGGAGTAGAGGCTTCACTTCTGAAGGAAATGAGCTTCTTTTTGCTTCTGTAGATGAGAGAGTCTGACCACTCAATTTGATTATTTTACTCTGCGTTTCATTTCCTATCATCTTCTTGGGCTGATCAGCCTCTCTGTCAGTTACCAACAATTTAGGCTGCTCCATGTTTCCCTCCGACATATATCTCTTTCGATCACTCAAATTAGAATTCTCTATGTCATGGGGCTTAACGTTGATGCTTAGTTCCTCTTTTATCATCCCTTCAGAGGGCTTTGCTCTAGTTTTTCCCAGTTCAGTGTTTTTCTCTACCTCATTTTCTCTATCATCCTTTGACTGGTGGAACTCCTGGTTTTCCTCATCCTGGTTACCAGATCCTTTGAAGTGCATTTCCATTAACTTCTGAGGTCCCATGGTATGACAGTGTGTATGTGACTGCTCAGGGGCTGGTTCTATACCAGGTAGTCCTGGCTCTCCAAGGTCAAGCTTGACTTTTTCCCCTGGAGACACGTCCTTGTTATTTTGGAAGGAGCCAGAAGTCCACATGGATAAAGTATTTGTCTTTGGGGTCATAGTTTCATAATGTTTGCTTTGGTACAACCTTGTCAGAGGTTGTAGAAAGCCATGGTTGCTGTGTCTGTCTTTGGGATTTATGTGTTCTACAATGGACCATTTTCCTAGAGACATCAGGGTTTTGGCAATGGGCTTTTCAGGATTATTCACTAACGAAGTAGTGGCTAAATCCCTATCTTGAGGCAACTTCTCTTGGGATTCAATGCTGTTCAAAGTAGAAGTGGAAGAGTTGTCTGAATTTTCTGCTCTGGAGATGGTGCTATTTTCTCCATTGGCCAAAGGACCACTGCTCAGCTTAGTCTCAGTGGCCCCCTTTCCACCACTGCTATAGAATATGTCGTACAGATCCTTAGCATTGGCTGTGGCTAAGCATGAATTCCGCTTCTCCAATTTTTTGGCTTGTTCACTGAACACACTTGAGAGGGGTGGAGGAGGACGCACTAACAGAGAGAACAGGGCTTGGTCTCGATCATTCTCACTCACCCCAGGAGCAGTCTCATCAGAAGGAATGGCAGTCGGCTGTGCTGAGGCCACGATGGCCACAGGCACCTCTGGGTTTAAAATGTTAGGATCCAAGAATCCAGGGCTGGGGGTTTGAGATACAGCTGGGTTTGATTTGACCAGAGCCGAGGCATTTGTCTGAGCAGAAGAGGGAGCAGCTGGGTGAGATGTAACTGGAGGTAGCGGGGGTGGTGGTGGAGGAGGTGGTAACATTTGCTCAGGTATATGGGATGGCTCATTCTTTTTAGCCGGTGTTATTTTTTCCTCTGGAGACCCTTTTAGAATCACTTCTTCCCCTCCAAATGCTTTGGAAATGATATCTGGAGGCAAAAGAAGATCAGATGAAGACTCTTTGACCACTGGCAGAGGCTTAGCAGCAGTTCCAGATGACTTAATTGATAGGAAGGTGTTAAGTGGAGCTGGCTTGCTCACTGTGGTTGAACTCGACTTGCGGAGTACTGTGGATGGGATAGGAAGGTTGGGGCGGATTTTAGTCAGGGTTGAAGTTGTCACAACAGGCATCCAAGGGCTCGTATGTGCAACAACAGTTTTCCCAGAGAGTTTGATTTTGATGGGCTTTGCTTTCCCAGCTTCAGCTTTGCCATCTTCTTTATCTCTACTGTTTTCCGCAGTCTCTTCCTTAGGGATACCTGGAGCCACCACTGAAGTTTTTTCCTCCTCTTTTTCTGGTTTCTTCCAGCTGAATTTTCCAAAGGAGGAGGATGTTGTTAATTCCTTCTTTGTCTCTTCTTTTAACTGAAGTTTGAGGCTAGCTTTCTTTTTGTTTTCAGCTTTTTCAGGGTGGTTCCCACCTTCAGAGGGCTGATCCTCTAATTCCAGAGAGACTTTATCATCTTCCTTTGTATCTTTCATGACTTTTGCTTTTTTTTCTTTCTCTTCCTTTGGTTTTTCACTGAGTTTACGCTTAAGCTCACTCTGCCGTCGCCGTTCTGTCTCTAGGACAACAGCTAAACCAGCTTGGCGGTCCAGATTCCGCCGCTCCTCATACAAGGGGTTCTCATCCACATATTTCTGGAAGAGAAAAGATAGCTGCTCAATAATTGATCAAAATACTACAAAGGAAAAAAAATCTTCACCCCTTTTCTGTTAGAATTCATCTAAAAGAAAATCTCTAAAATCATCTCCCTCAAAGTTATAGGTAGTTCATCTAGGACTGTGGAGAACTTCCTAGCAGTTATATAAGTAACAAATGCCAATGAAGACATCTGATAAAGTCAAAAGGGTTTCCACAAAAAGTGGAAAACTCCACAGGCTTACAAAGACGAACCTTGTATTTCTCATTGTGTTGGTGACCTTTCACGTGTTGTTCTCCAGAAATGGGATCCCCCAAAAATTCCTCACAGAGCTGGCAATAATATCCAGTTACGGGAATCAGGAACTCAGAGCCTAGAAGCAGTAGAAGAAAGTCAAGGAAATAAGTTCTCTCTACCAAGTGTCACATTACCAAAGGAAAATTCATCTCCCTTTGTGTTAAAACTGGATGGAAGAAAAGATATTACCTACTACCCTGCAGTAAAAGGTAGTATATAGTTGAATGAATCTGAGTGGCACAGTGTCCCAATCTAAAGACTGAACTCTGAATTACTGTTCCCTTTTCCTTTTAGGAACATTAATTGACTGAGTCAGGAGTCTCCTGTCAGATCCATCTAGGTTGTTGGATCCAACTCCAGCTAACACTGAGCACATCATAGGAGGTTTAAAAGCTAATCTCAGCCTACTACCTAACTGTAGGAAAAGCCCTCATGTTGGTGTTAATTATTAATATATCTCCTAGATGTAAAAGACACAGCAGAACAGATTATTTATGGAAATAATAGGAAATTTTTAAAGCATAAGAACATTCCACTTCTCAATTTACCCAGTAATACTCAAATATTTTACAATTTTTAGTTGAAAAAGTAGTAACAGTAAATCACTGTCCTCATTTTTAAACCTGGAAGGCAAGTAAATAAATGAATAACAAAGATAGCTATTCTGCTTTATTTTAGAATGGCACATACATGTTTCACATCTATTAAATTTTGGGCCATACAGGTAGAGGCTATCCTTGTCTCTTTTTATTTCTTCAGGACCTAGGAGACTGTCTTGTACACATAAGATATTCTCATAGCTTTGTTAAAAGAAATGGCTATATTATCCTAAGTTTCTTCCTAACACCTTAGTTCAGGGACATCTTTTCCCAGATGGTAGGAAAGCTACTCAAGTGACAGGGAGAAAACATACCTTTTGCTGGGACTGTTATCTTGTCAGTGCGCTTTACAGCATCCTGCTTGGCCTCACTCTGGGTTTTTGAAGCCCAAGGTCTGTTGTAGGGATCCAGGGTCTATTTGTAAGAGGCAGAGGTGCTCATACAATAGAACTAAAAGCTCAAAACCCCATTTTTCTCTTTTCTCCCCATACATAAGACCAAGGGACCACAAGCCCCAGTTACCCACCCCTACACCTCCCTCTGTCAACTGTTTAAATGGAAACCACCTGTGGAAAAGGTAAACATATGTTAGAGAAAATGCAATGAATAAAATGAAACAAAAAAATGAGGTATTCAAGAAAACAAAAGAGGTAAAAGCCTCACTTACACTTATCTTGGTGTTTAGCTACATGGCTGTCCCCCTGGACAGAGTCCTGGGGACAGGAATCTCCTTTGTGGCATCTCTTGACTCTTCAGACTGGGGCTCCTGCCCATATGTGTGTGTTAAATTTTTCTTTGTGATACAGATGAGGGCACAGACATTTCGGGTAAGGAGGCAGAGAGTAGAAATAAGAGAGGGCAGGACACCTACCTGTGTGTGCTTCTTATTATGCATATGAGTGAAGAAGTCAAACATGGTTCCACAAATGGTATTGCAGTCTTTGCACCAGTGATTGCCAGCATCATAATACTCATATGCAGTAATGGGCTGATCAGACTGCTTAGCAGTAACCTGGGGGCTCTCGGCGCCGTTGGGGCTTTTAGCATGAGACTTCTCATTATTTATCTTTGATTCCTAGAAGGGAAAAATATGTACTTAGAAGGAATTCAAGGCACTCTAGATCTGTGTTGTATTAGAAAAAGTAGTCTACCATCATAATAAACCAGAAATCAAACCCATTGCTATTGAATCAATTCCTACTTACAGTAACCCTGCAGGACCCAATAGAACTGCCCCACAGGGTTTCCAGAGCTGCAATTCTTTACGAAGCAGATTACCACATCTTTCTCTTACAGAGTGAGTAGGAGAAAGTGTAACATCAAGTGTAAATACTGAGCTTTCAGATAGCAGCTGACCACCTAACCAAGGTTCCACAATCTACAATAATCAACTCATTGCTGTCGAGTTGGAACCAACTCATAGCTGACTCTCAAGTGGGTTTTCTTGGGTTGTAAATGAATAGGGGGGAGACCATCCATCTTATTTCTGTGTAGGGCCTGGTGGATTAAAACCAACAGACAGGTGCAACCCTTGGTTGTGCAGTGCCACTCCCTACAGACTAAGTCACCAGAGGCCTATATTCTAGTGCGTGTTGTTGTTAGGTACTCAATGTTGGAACCAATTCACAGTGGACCCTCCAGTGGGTTTTTTGATACAATATAAGGGGGAAACTGCCCATTTTTCCACCACAGAGCTGCTGTAGATTCAAACCATGTACCTTTGAGTTGGCAGCACAGCACCTTACCACGAGGACACCCAGAGCTCCAAATCAGGCTTAGCAACACAGTGGTTATGTGTTCAGCTCCTAAACAAATGGTCAGTGGTTGAACCTACCAGCTGTTCTGCAAGAAAAAGTTGTGGCTGTCTGCTCCTGTAAATAATACAGCCTTTGAACTCCTATAGAGTAGTTCTACTCTAGCTATAGAATCATGATGTGTTGGAATTAATAGCAAGAAGTTTGATTTTGGTAAAAACTGTAGAAACTGGCTAAAAAAATCAAGGAAAATGTGTTTCCAAGACTCAAACAAATCTATTTTGGTCCCATAGTGTTTGCTACCTGAGCATAAAGAATAAATCACATACTTACTTATATATCATAAAATAGTTCTAGAAAAACACTCAAAAGTATGGAAATACTGATTTCCTCTGGTTACAGCAACTGGAAAATAAGGGGTGGGTAGAAATCTTTTTACTGTGTACCTTTTAGAAGGTAATGAATGTGTTACCTATGTAACTAAATACATTAATTAAAACTCATTAGTTCAAATCACAATTATAAGAGGGGAGAAAAATAAAATTGGAGACAGTAATTGATAGGTTAAATAAAGGAAATACAGAAAAAGAGAACAGCGTGCTTACTTACCACTGATGCATCTTAGAAAAAGTATACCTCATTTTATTACACTCCAGAGATGGTGTGTTTTTTACAAATTGAAGATCTGCAGCAATCCTACACTCAGCAAGTCTTTCCGTGTCACGTTCCACCGGACTCTTGATATCATGTTCCATGCTCACTTTGGATGTCTGTTACATTTTGGTAATTCTTACAATATTTCAAACTTTTTTTTATAATGTTACTGCATATTTAATAAACTACTCTATTGTGTAAACACGAGTTTTATACGCACTGGGAAACAAAAAAAATTGAGTAACATGTTTTATTGTAATGGCAGTTTCACTGTAATAATCTGCAACCAAATGCATACTATTTCAGCTTGTAGAAAAAACTGGAGAATAGAATGGGATTGGGCACAGATAAAGCAAAAAGCCATCTATATGGGACAACATAAGGGCAGCTAGGTAAAATATTTCCAACTTCCTAAAACAAAACTATTAATATTAAACACCTTGAATTCATGTTGACTCCTCTTTTAAAACACAGAAACATTTGATAATTGCATTATCAAATGTAAGAAATGCTTTGCTAGAAATCAATTTGTCAGCCAACTATTTGGATATGAAATTTTTGGTGACTATCAAGGATTAAACAACACAAGAAGATAACCAGAACAAAGAGAAGTATGAATGGTGTCCTAATGCAGACAAGAAGCAAAATAATCATTAGAAAGACAGGGGGAAAACAGAAAATACAAAAATAGATGTCAGAAGAAATTCAGAGATTTGCTCTTGAATGCAGAAAATCTAAAGTGACAGGAACACATGAAGGATGAAATATGAGAATGGAAACAGATTCCACAGGTCAGCTCAAGAAGATAAAGTATTAAAATGAAATGTGCAAAGACCTTGAGTTAAAAAACCAAAAGAATATGCTCTGCATTTCTCAAGCTGAAAGAACTGAAAAAAGAAGAAAAAAAAAATTCTAGCCTCAAGAAGCAATCCTGAATTCTATGGGCAAAATATTGAACTACATAGAAAGCATCAAAAGAAGATGGAAAGAACACCAGTCACTGTACCAAAAACTGGTCAGTGCTCAATCACTTCAGGAGGCAGAATACAGCCAAGAAGCAATGGTACTAAAGGGAAGAATCTAGACAACACTGAAGGCATTAACAAAAACTAAGTCTCCAAGAATTTAAGAAATACCAATAGAGATGTTTCAACAAACAGAAGCAGCCCTGGGTGTGTTCATTTGTCTATATAAAAAAATTTATATGACAACTACTTGGCCTACTGACCTGTAATTGTGCCCATTTCTAAAAAAGATGATTTAACAGAATGCCAAAATTATCAAATAATGTCATTAATCTCTTACTAAAGTAAAATCTTGCTGAAAATAATTTTTAAACTCCTGGAGCAGTACACTGACAAGGAACTGCCAGAAATATCCAAGCTGGATTCAGAAGAGGCTGTGGAACAAGAGATGTCATTTGCTAGAAATCATATGGATCTTGGTTGAAAGCAGAGAATATTGGAAAAAATGTTTACATATGTTCTACTGACTAGGCAAAGGCATTCAATTGTGTGAATGACAATAAATTATGGATCTAAGAATGGACATTCTAGAATAATTATGCTCACATGGAACCTGTACATAGTTTAAGGAGTAGTTGTTCAGTTCAAACAAAATAAGGGGATAAAATCAGAATGTTATCACGGTTGTATTCATTCATCCCCTTTACTCAGTATTTATACTTGACAAATAAGCTGAGAAGCTCGACTAATATAAAGAGGAATGTGGCATTAGGACTGGTGGAAGACTGTCAGAAATCTACAAAATGCAGATGATACAACCTTGCTTGCTCAAAGGGAAAAGGACCTGAAACATTTACTGAGGAACATCCAAGACAATGGCCTTCAGTAAGGATTACATCTCAATATACACAAAAATATTAACAACTGCACCAGTAAACAACACTATAATAGAGAAAAGATTAAAATAATTTCATAAACACTGTAATAAAGAAAAGATTAAAGTCTTAAAAACTACACTCTAGTTGTTGTTGTTATGTGCTGTTGAGTCACTTGTACAATAGCCCTAAACTCTGCTCTGTCCTGTGTCAATCACACTGTCTCTGACACTCCCATCCCAATTAACCCAGTAACTGAATCAATCCACTTCATAGAGGGCCTTCTCCTCCTGTGCTGTCCCTCCACCCTCCCAAGCATGTGTCCTTCTCCAAGGACTGGTCTCTCCTTACATGTCCAAAGTATGTTAGACGGGAGCCTCAGAATCCTTGCCTCCAAGGAGCCACCCGGTTTAACCCTTTCCAGGATGAATCTGTTTGTTTTCTTAGCAGTCCATGGTACTCTCAATACTCTTCTCTAGCACCATAGCTCAAAGGCATCAATTCTCCTTCTGTCCTCCTTAGTCATTGTCCAACTCTCTGATGCATAACAAGTGATTGCAAAGACCATGGCCTGTATCAGAAGCACCTTAGTCTCCAGAGAGACACCACTGCTCTTCAGTACTTTGGAGAGGTCCCTAACAACAGACGATGACAATGAGCCTTTTAATTTCCAGGCTACTGGTGCCAAGAGTGAGAGTGTCGACTGTGGAGCCAAGCAAACTAAAGCTGTGAACAATCTCAATCTCTTCACCATCCATCCTGATGCTGCCAATTGGTCCAGTGGTGAGAATCTTTGTCTACTTGACATTGAGCCTCAATCCATATTGGAGGCTGCAGTCCTTGACCCTCTGCAGCAAGCGCTTCAGGTCCTCTTCAGTTTCAGCAAGCAGGGTTGTGTCATCTGCATAATGCAGATTGTTGATAGATCGTCCACCAATCTTGACCCCACATTTCTCCTCATAGAGCCCAGCCTCCCGGATAATCTGTTCTGCATACAGGGGGAGTTTTGGGCAAGCATTGAGCAAATCTTCACCATGGATCTCTTTAAAGTGGTAAAGATCAAGAGTAGAACTTTAAAGACTCAGTCCACATTTCCAACTGCTTCACATGCATGTGAAGATTGGACAATGAATAAGAAAACTCACAGACGCTTGAGCCATTTTTTTTAATTATTGATGACTGATAGTGTCTCTCAGTTGTGCTGACAAAGAAGACTGACTACACCAGGGGCTGCCAAAAGTACAAGAAAAAAGGTTGGTGTGGAAGAAATGCTGCCAGAGTGTTCCTTAGTAACAGGATGGTGAGACTTTTTCTCTTACACTTTGGGCATGTTATCAGGAGGGGCTATTTCCTCAAAAAGAATATCATATTTAAAAAATTAGCAGGTCGGTGTAACACAGAAAGACCTTCAATAAGATGGATGACACAGTGCAAAAACAGAGTTGAGCACAGAAGAGATAGTAAGGATGGCCAGGACTCAGCAGGGCTTTGCTCTGCTATGTATAGGGTCACTATAAGTCAGAGCCAATTCAATGGCACCTAACAATAAGTAAGATGAACAAAATATGCACCTAGAATATTGGTTACTAGAAAAACAGACAGAAAGAAGATAGGGAAACAGTCGGGAAAGGACAGACAAATCATTCACTACTAGAATTCCATTCACCACAAAAAATTCCAGAGAATAGATAATGAAGTAACTCATTATGAAACAATTATATATGGAGGTACTGAGTAAGGGCTTACTAAATCTCAATGATAGTCTAAAAAAATCTTCATGAAGTAGATAGTGTTCAAGATGGGCCTTACTGAAAAACATTATTCCAGCTAAAAGGATCCTTAATGCAAAATCAGAGATGTGGAATAATACACTGTGGATCTACAAAATTGCAAGCATTTTGAAATGGCAGAAGCATAAGATGTGAAAGAAAGGAGGTTCGGAAACAAAAGCTCATTATTCAATCAAAATTTTTTTTTATTGTATTATTTTTACGTGTACCGTCAAATCAGATGTGACTCGTACAGGAGGAGATTTCCCCCTCCTTCTCCAGCAGAGCATCTGGTGGATTCGAACAGTGTACCTCTGGGATTGCAGTGCAGCATCTTGCCACTAGGCCACCAGAGCTCCCTAATCAAATATTTCTTGAGCACTATTTTGTATTGTTCATTGAGCTAAGGGGAGGGACTGATACAAAGTAATTATAAATGTTATTATATAATTATAATAGTCATAAATACTGAGGGAAAATTATAAACTATTATGAGTATAAATGATGAAATACTCATGAGTATAAAACTTAACAGCCAAGGGAACCAAGGAAGGAAGTGAGGACTACAGGATGACTATGAGGTAGTAAGAAGAAAGGAAAGGAGAGAGCTATTTGTAATGGTAAACAGAGGGAGTAAAGGATGCAAACATTAGATGTTAAGACTTAGTTAAGGAATAAAATAAATATATTGAGCAAAAGGGGAAAGCAGTAAATGAGGCCCAAAGAGCAGATAAGAGAAGATCATAATCACTGCTTGTCATGTGGAAAAAGAGAGCTAATTAAAGGTGTTGCAGTACAGTCAAGAATTCAAGATGGTTTGGATTGCAACAGAGATGAAGTAGACAGAATTGAAATAAACTTTGGAGGAAGAAGTGGCATAATCTGGTAATTATGTATATGGAGCAATTAGGGAGAGTGAAGTACTGAAGATACTGTTCAGAGTTTTGGCAATGACAATTGATGGGCGGTGGGGCACTGCTGCTCTTTGCCCTAGAGTTGGAACTAACTCATAGCTGATTGTCCATTGGGTTTCAGAGACTGAAAATTGCATGGGAGGAGACTGTCCTTTCTCCTGAGAAGGCTGTGTTGGAGCCAGTGAGGCAAGCCAGAAAGGCACAGCCTTTTTTTTTTTCAAGCACAGCCTTATAAGTAAGCAGTCCAACTTCCTACAGACTAAGCCACTAAAGTTCCCTAGAGGAGCACTAGTTACTGACAATGGGTAACATTACAGAAGAAAACGCTGGCGAAAGAGTGACCACAATCATTAGTGTAACTGAGACATGCTGATTTTAAGGTTTGTGTAACATTCTAAGGCTCTTAACCCAAGTTAGCTATTTGAATCTCCAAATCACTCCATGGGAAAATGGTAAAGTCTCCTCCTATAAAATTGATAGTCTCAAAAATCTGATGGAGGGTTGCTATCAGTCGGTATAAACTCAACAGCAGTGGGGTGAAATAAAGCAGAAATGGTGAGCAGGTAGTTAGACACCAGGTTTGGATCTCAGAAGAATGAACTGAGCTAGACTCTAAATCTGGAAATTGTTAGCATGGTTTTGGTGTTAAGGGTTTATTACTGTTCAAAATGACTCTTCTCTAGCCTTTGTCTTTGACTTTGCTATGTGGATGGGCAGGAATATGCAAATAAGGTGTGTTAGCCTATCCACAAGAGGATTGGCAAGTCTCATCACTAAATTGAGCAGATTCAGCAGCAGATTTTGAGAATCTCATTGCCAGCAATTAAACAAGAGAATGCAGCATGCCCTTTGGGGCCAGAGATTCTTTATTAGACAGACCAGGCCCTATAGTAGCAGCAGCCCTAGCAGCCAGCAGCAGAGACCTGACATGATGAGATGGAGCTGACCTTGGGACTGCTATACCACAGATCTAGAGCTAAAAGCCTTTGGCCAAGTTTGTTGGACTACTTGAAGGGTAGGTCAGAGGGGAATGTCATAACTGGCAGGACTAAGACCTTTGTAGCACTGGCCTAGTGCCAAAGCTGAAGGCCGAGGTGCGTGCAAGCACATTTCAGCAATTCTCCTGACTGAGCAGTTGGATTATGCTACTAATCTGAATGATAGCCTTTTGACTTCTCTACTATGGTTCTGTGTGCTCTGTAAGCTATTGCAATAGATTTTGGACCCAGTAAAACAGTAAAATTGATATTGAGGTGAGTAGAAAGAGGTACAAGAGGGTAGGGAATGTGTCTGACCTTATGGAAATTGGTTTTGTGTTGTGGATGTTTTTGACAGGTACAGTTCTCCTTTGTAGAGTTAGTAGGGGTCAGATATGGCCATCCCCACATGGCCCTTGCTCTTTTAACAATGGTATTTGCACACAGAACTGAACGAAATAGCTTAGGGAGACAGAACTGGAGAATTGAACAACTCAGTCCTGAGGAACTCAAAATATTTAAAGATCAGATAACAAGATGATAAGCAACAAAAGATACTAAGAAGTAGCCAAAATAGTCAGAGGAAAAGAAGTGTAACAGTGTAAAGGGAAGAAAGCATTTATAGAAGACTGGTACCTTGTGCTAATCTGACAACTGATGTATAGCTTTAGTGGCACAGTGATGACCCTGTTGCTAAACATGAACCCTCAAAATGATATAAACAAGCTAAGAAAAAAAAATCAGACCTAACACAGGTGATCAAGAGTAAATGCTAGAAGGAGGAGACCACAGTGGGTCCTGAATGCTGAGGATTTTGGATTCTACTTTGTAGGCAACAGGGAACTGCTGAGACTACAGAGCAGAATACCACAATCTGATCTATGTTTCAGAAAGTAACAAGAATGTGAGCAGATTGGAAAAGGAAGTTAAGAATATTGTTAGGAAGCTTATGTAAGAGTCTATGGGAGATAAAAGAGAAAATAATAGAAATGAAAAGTTGAGCTGTTACCTTGCTGTTGGAGGAGTCTGAGGGGGGTGACACTTTCTCTGGGCTCTTAGTTTTTTCTGCTTTCCCAGGCTTCTGTGTAGGCTCCTTACTGTCATTTGTAGACTTCTGGGATTTATCAAAAATGTCAATTCCCAATATCTGAGCTACTTTGTCCAGTTCAGACTGCTTCTTTTCTGCCTCTTCTGCTTCTTGTTGTAGTTCTGCAATGTCCTTCATAATGTTATCCTGAAGCCGACTCACCTCCACCAGGAGCGGGTCTTTATGGCCGTCCTTCTCCCTTCGTTTCTTACGCAGCATTTCTCCTGAGTAGTCAAATGCCAACAGAAAGAAACACAGAGAAAGAAGACAATGAGTCACTTTTTAGTCACAAATAGCAATCTCTCAGGACTTCATGGTTACAAAATCTTTCCCTACAGAAGTTTCTAAGAGTAAGTGAGATTCCCCTTCTATATAGCTGGTTTAAGTGATGCTTCTATGAAGGTAAAGGACAGTTGATTCCATCATTTTTTGTGTAGGTTGTCAGGCTAGAGAGGCAGGCTTTCAGGGCTCTATGAACTCCCAAAATAGCATACACAAATTTGTGGCTGTGTATGACTCACCCAAGAATTAATGCCTTTGAGTTGTAGTGCTGGAGAAGAGTCCTGAATAGACCATGGACTGAATATATCATGGATATACCAAGAAAATAAATAGGTCTGTCTTGGAGAGGGTGAAACCAACTTTCTCTTTGGAGGCTAGGATTTTGAAGCTCTGTCTTACATACTTTGGGCATGTGGCCAGGAAGGACTGATCCTTGGAGAGAGACATCATGCTCCGAAGGGTGGGGGGACAGCTCAGGACAGGAAGAATCTGGATGAAATGGATTGATACAGTGACTAGAGCAATGAGAGTAGGTGTGTCAGAGCCAGTGAGATTGACTCAGGACAGGGCAGGCTTCAGTGTCACAGGCGATTCAATGGCATATAACAAAAACAACAATATACCTAGAAATTCAGTGCATAAAAAATTTTCAGAGAGTGAAAAAATATTCAATCATATATTTGACTTTATTTAAGGATTCTTTACCAACTCCATTGAGTCTTGCATCAAACAGGCTTACCCTATCTGATCCTAAATCACTCCATGTTTTCACGGAATAATTCTCCTAGGATTAATCAATGAGCTTCCAAATTCTACCAAAAGTAACTCTTCTCCTATCCCTCTGTTCTTCCAAACTATTGCCAATGTAGCATACAGAAGCCTTGCTATATTCTTTCTGCGGTATATACATGAAATTCCTGATAGCATACATGAAGAGATAGAGAATCCAAAGTAAGGCATCATGGAACAGCTTTTTTGTGCTAAAAAAGCAAAGAGTACTCGCAGCAAACAACAAATGCTGGGGAGGATGTGGAGAAACTGGAACCCTTATTCACTGTTGATGGGAGTGTAAAAATGGTGCAACCACTATGGAAGGCTGTATGGCGCTCTCTCAAAAAGTTGCAAACAGAAATACCATTTGACCCAGAAATTCCACCACTGGGAATAGACCCTAAAAAAACTAGAACTGTCACCCAGGCAGATATATGCACACTCATGTTTACTGTGGCTTTGTTCACAATAGCAAGTAGTTGGAAACAACCTAAGTGCTCATAAAAAAACAAATGGATAGAAAAGCTGTGGTATATTCACACAATGGAATACTACACAGCATTGAAAAACAAGGGACTTTTGCAATATTATTCAAAATGGGTGACCTTGGAGACATTATGCGGCGTGAAATATCTCAGTCATAAAAGGACAGGTGCTGCATGGTGTCACTATTGTAGAACAGGACTGATATCAGGGTTGGTGTGAGACTGAGAAAAATTGGATAAATTATGTATACTGCATTGAATCAGATGAGGGAGAGAACTGTTTGAAAGCGATAGATGATTGGGTATTATGGTTATGACAAGAGTCCAGAATGAAGGTTGCATAGTGGAGTATAGTTGGGCAAGGATGATTCTGTACCAATGAAATAATTTTTCTTTTACTTTTCAAAGAGAAGAGTGAACTGGGGGGAGGGGTGGGTAGGGAGAAAAATGCAGCAATGAATGTATGGAAATCCAAAATCTCTGTAAACGGTCATTAAAATTAATTTTAAAAAATTTAAAAAAATTTTTAAAAAGCAAAGAGTACTCAAAAAATGATAGAGACACAGTAAAAGGATAAAGGAATCAGTTTTTAAAATGGCTTCTACTATAAAGTGACCAAATCTAGGGGAATTTTAGCACAAAAAAAGATGCTATGGATTGCACTATGCCCCTTTATACATGTTACAAATCCAACTATACCTGCGGTATAAAGCCATCTGGAAATAAGATTTTTTTAATAATGTTGATGAGCCAATATTAGTATAGGATGTTTTAAATTTATTTCTTCCAAGATTTAAAAGATAGCAGATTAAGCAAGCAGCTAGTAAACATTGATAGGGAACAGATGACACTCACCATAAGATCTCCAAACACTAAAACAAAAACTGAAAAGAAACATGGGCTTTCCCAAAGAACAACATAAACTGTCTTTCCCTAGAGCCAACAGCCTGAATTTATACTTTTAGCTACACTAACAATGAGAAAATAAATTCATCTTTGTTAAAGCTGCCTATTTGTGGTATTTCTGTGAAAGCAACATCAGATATCTAATGTAAAAGACTATAGTTATGTGCCATTGAGTCACCTGTGTCCCACAGCGACACTATGTACAGCAGCTCTGAAGCCTGCCCTGTCCTGAGCCAGTCTCACTGACTCCAACACATGAACCCCCAATTCTCCCCATCACTCCATCTCATCCAGGGTCTTCCTCTCCTGCGCTGATCTCCACCTTTCTGAGCATGATGTCCTTCTCTAAGGACCTGTCTCTCCTGGCTAGGTGCCCAAACTACACAAGACGGAGCTTCAAAATCCTAGCCTCCAAGGAGATACTTGGTTTCACTCTCTCCCAGACAGACCTATTTGTTTTCTTGGCTGTCCATGGTATGTTCAACACTGTTCTCCAGCACAAGTTGAATCAATTAGATCTGTAAGCTACAAAATAGTATCATATTAATGTTAATGTCCTAATTTTGGTAACTACATTTTGGTTACATAACTCCTTATGGTTAGGAAATATAAACTGAAAAATTTAAGGGTCATAAGGCATTCTATCTATCAGTCTCTCTTAAAATAACTGAGGAACAAATGATATATCCACATATATGAGGTAAGAAAGAGAAAAAGACAGAGAAAATATAATACCAATAATCTGAGAAAGAGTACCCAATAATTCTTTGCACTATCATTGCAACTTTTCTGTCAATGTAAGTCAAATTTTGTTTTTTTTTCACAAAGGCCTCAAATCATTGAATCTGTATGAAAGTCCCAAAAGCACTCTATATGGGTCTCCTGCTCAATTAACTGCAAAAGGGTAGTCCTGCAATGGCAAGTCTTGTACCTTGCTGTTTATGAAGCCGCTCCAGTTCAGTTCTGAGATAGTACATCTTCTTCTGCCGGGATTCCCGGTCACTTTTCAGTTTTTCCCTCTCTTCAATTACCTGCAAAGCACAATTTAGCAAGGAAGTCTTTTGTTGCAATATCTTCCCTTTTCTAGTGTTCTTTTCCATAACTGTTATTCTAAATATATATGTACCTGAATATAAGAATTCAAACTTTTTCAGGTTCTGACTTTATAGTCAAGGTGCTATTTCTTTCTAATCCGTTTTAGATAGAACTAAGATTTTCAGAATACAAAGTCCAGAAAGTAATATTCTTTTTTTTTTAATCAAACCAAAAGTAATATTATCCAAGAAATACTATATTATTAAATCTCAATCTAAAGTCACTGAGTATTAGATAATGTTTTAAACATCAAAGAGAACCAGTAAAAAAGGAACTATTATATTATGAATTAGGCATTGTGTTAGCTTTGTTATGTATATAATTTTATTTAAACTTCAGGATACTGTCTCTCTTTAAAAGTAAGAAAACTGACACCACAAGATAAATAACTCAACTAAAAAATAGGCACAGGATATGAACAGTTACTTCACCAAAGAATACATTCATATGGCAAACACACACATGAAGAAATGTTCAAAATCCCTACCTCTAAGAGAGATGAACATCAAAACAACTACGAGATATCATCTCACTCCAGTAGTTGTTGTTGTTATGTGCCGTTGAGTCGTTTGCGACTCATAGCGACCCTATGTACAACAACCCCTATCCTGTGCCAATCTCATTGCCTCTGACACACCCATCCCGATTACCCTAGTCACTGAATCAATCCACCTCATGGAGGGTCTTCCCCTCCTGCGCTGTCCCTCTACTCTACCCAGCATGATGTCCCTCTCCAAAGACCTGTCTCTCCTTGCAACATGTCCAAAGTATGTCAGATGAAGCTCCAGAATCTTTGCCTCCATGGAGTAGCCTGGTTTAACCCTCTCTAGGATGAATCTGTTTGTTTTCTTGGCAGTCCATGGTACATTCAATACTCTTCTCCAGCACCGCAGCTCAAAGGCGTCAATTCTCCTTCTTCCCTCCCTAGTCATTGTCTGCTTGTTTTGCCACTCCAGTAAGAAAAGCAAAATTTAACAGAACAGCAAACAGCAAATACTGGTGAGGTTGTGGGGAAACTGGAACCCTTATTCACTGTTGGTGGAAGTGTAAAATGGTGCAACCATTTCTCAAAAAGTTGTAAACAGAAATACCATTTGACCCAGAAATTCCACTACTGGGAATTTATCCTAAAGAAACCATAACCAACCACAACAAGATAAAGGTAAATAATCCACTAGAAAAATGGGCACAGGATATGAACAGACACTTCACCAAAGAAGACATTCAGATGACTAACAAGCACATGAAGAAGTGTTCAAAATCCCTAGCTCTAAGAGAGATGCAAATTAAAACAACTATGAGATATCATCTCACCCCAGTAAGAATAGCAAAATTTAACAGAACAACAAGCAACAAATGCTGGCAAGGTTGTGGAGAAAACTGTAACCCTTATTCACTGTTGGTGGGAGTGTAAAATGGTGCAACCACTGTGGAAGGCGCTGTGGCGCTTTCTCAAAATGTTGCAAATAGAGATACCATTTGACCCAGCAATTCCACTACTGGGAATATACTCCAAAGAGACCATAACTGACATCCATGCAGATATATGCCCCCTCATGCTTATTGCGGCTTTGTTCGCAATAGCAAAGACCTGGAAACAACCCAAGTGCCCATCAACAAACGAATGGATAGAGAAGATCTGGTATATTTACACAATGAAATACTATGCAGCATTGAAAAATAAGGAGCTAATGAAATATTATGCAAAATGGATGACCCTTGAAGACATTATGCTGAGTAAAATATTTCAGTCACAAAAGGACAAATATTGCATAGGCAACTGTTGTAAAATGGGACTGACATCAGGGTTGAGGGAAGACAGAGAAGGAGAGGATGATGTATACTGCATTGAAACAGATGAGGGAGAGAAATGTTTTAAAAGGGATATATGATTTGGTATTATTGTCATGACACGAGTCCAGAATGAAGGCTGCACAGTAGAGTGGACTTGAGGGGAGGGACTGCATAACAATGAGTTTTTCTTTTACTTTTCAAGGAGAAGAGTGATTTGGGGGGGAGAGGGTGGGCAGGGAGAAAAGCACAACAGTGAATGATTGAAAACCCTACGTCTCTGTAAACTTTCATTAAAATTAAAAAAAAGTATCAGCAGTTAAATATTTTCCCAGATCACACAATTAATAATTATAAGACTAGACAAGTAAAAAACCTAATTTTTAAAAAGTTAAGAAAACAGATTGTGATGGATTAAGTAATTATAGTTGTTGTTGCAGTATGCAGTTGAGTCAGAAGTGACTCACGCCTGACACCCCAGTGGGTTTTCAAAGGCTGGAAATCTCTTAAGAGAAGATTGTTCATCTTTCTTCCTCAGAGCAGCTGGTGGATGAGAACTGTCTGCTTTTGGATTGCGAGTACAACTCCTTACCACCAGAGCTCCCTAGTTAGTTAAGAGTAAATTTAACATCTAGGTAGATTTGCCCTAAAATTAGTGAATTTTCAAGATATTAACACCTGAGAGGAAAACAAATACGGTTTATCTGAAACAAGGTAGTGTAAAAAATTGTGTGTATCAGCCCTTATTTAAGTTATAAACTCTTTAAAAGGATAGTAAAACCTCAGGCTCTAAACAGTGTCTCTGAAGTCTGAAGCTTTGCTTTTATTCAGCTGATGCTTCTCCTTCCCAAAAAACTTCAATGTAATGAAACTCAGGTTCAGAAATCCTAGGATAATTGAAAATCCAGAGAAAGTTTGTGGGGTTTTCGTTTCCTCACAAAGATGAGCTAAAAACTGTTTTTTAATTACGAAGAAAAAAATGAGATTGGCCCTCTAATGGTTTTTTCTCCTTAGATCATGATTAAGAACAAAACAAATTTACACCAACTTCATTTTTATATTTCTAAGCCAAGTGAACTATGAGCTACTAGAATACATACCTATTTTTTCCCCACTCTAATTTATTCTGTATTTCTGATACCTACATAATTAATTTTCTCCAAAGGAGAAAGATAGGCAATCTCATCCTATGTAATTTACTGTCTCTGAAAACAATAATGAAACACAACATACATACCCAACAACATAATGAAAAAGTACATAACATTGTAGAGACAACAATCAGTGTCACTAAATAAAACACATATAAATTGCTGATTAAACTAATTTGCTCTGTAAATGCTCCCTTAAATTACAATAAAAAATTGTTCTTTATTATACCTAGACTCTGATAAACCTATTTCTCTGGTGACTTAGTCTGTAGGGAGTTGCCCTGCTAACCCAAAGGCAGGGATTCAAATCCACCAGCTCCACCCTGGGAGACCAATGGGCAATCCTTTCCCAAGTGAATTATGTTGCTGTTGTTGTTAATGTACCATCAAATTGGAACTGACTCACAGTTGATCTACCAATGGACTTTCAGAGGTGGTAAATCAAAAGGTAGAAGATTGTCCATCTTTCCCCCAAGGAGCAATTGGTGGATTAGAACCGCTTGCTTTTGTGCTGGCAGCAGTTTCTTACCACCAAGCCACCAGAGCTCTCTAATCAAGTTACAGCTTCCGGAAAACCTACTAGAGGGTCAGCTATGAGTTGCTTCTGGCTCAAATACGGTTTTTGAGAAACTCTGATAAGCTAGAAGAAACATTTTTTTTTTATTATCAAGCAACACCTATTTATTTTAATCTCTAAAATCACTACAGCAGAAGGATCCAGACCCTACTGAGATAAATGTTAAGTTTACTGATCTTCATCACCCAACCCAATTCTAGTTCTTCACATCTAAGATCAATCTGAAGTTTCCTAGCTCCCACTCACAATGTCACAGTGCTGTAAGAACATCTATCAATATGAGTAGAGAAAGAATCTTTAAGAAAAAAAAAAAGGTCTTGTAATCACTGTGAGACTTAGGACCATTTTTTTAGTTGTTTTAGTGAAATTATGAGGGGATGACAATAAAAAATAACCCAGAGAGCTAAATATACATTTACATAGAACATTATAGTTGCCTCTGAAGGATTTCAAGTAAAGAGGCCTTACAAATTTCCATTCCTTTTTCAAAGACATACTTGTGTTAAAATAAAAGGTACAGGCACAAGAAGCCCAGAACTAATACTTACCTTCTGTTTCTGTGAAGCACGATTCTTCTCATCAGAGATTTTCTCAGGATTGTATCTTATGAGTGACGGGATGGACATCTGGGCAGGTACTTGAGTAGAAGGAACTGAGTTTAGCACGGTCTCCTCCTGCTTGGAGTCATCAGGAGTCACAGTGGGAATCACACGGAGGTTAGGACGGCTTCGAGAAGCCTGTTTGGTAACTGGTATCACCCTGTGTAGTTCAGGCAGAGAATGTTTTGATGGCTGAGAAGTGGGGTACATTGGCCACCTTGTGGCTGCGTATGCCATGTAGTGTCTATAGATATCAAAGGAAGCAGGGGAAACTGCAGGTCCCCGGTAGTTTGGAGGTATCCGAGCTGCAGCAAACTGTGGGACCCTTGGCATGTGAAACTGAGATAAAGAAGCAGGGTGTGGAAGTCTAATTGGGGCAGATGGGGCTGGCTGCAACATGCATCTGACTGAACCAGATGACTGAAACCCTCGACCAACTACTTCTGGCCCTGAAATCTGTCCCATTGGATGGTCAGACTTTAGGAAAAGAGGGCTGGGTTTTGTGAGCAAATAAGGGTCCACGGGGGAGGCTGGATGTGCATGGGACATATCTAGGGAGTGGGTACTGCTATGGTGTGTCTCCCGGCTCTCCAATCTGTGGGAATCTGAGGAATGTCGATCAGATGGGAAATTCTGGTCAACTGAGGAACGGCAATCAGCTGAGGAACGGTGATCAGCTGAGGAACGTGATGGTTTTTTGCCATGAAGTCGTTCCTGGGTGCGTGCAGCCAGTTTACTAATCTCTGCTACCCCAATATCCAGTCCTATGGTCTTGAGCAAGTCATGAATTTTGGCATATTCTGGATTAGTCTCTTCCAGGGATTCTCGCTTTATTGCTAGACCTGACGAGGGAAGGGAAGTGGTTTTCTGCCTCATAACTTCACTCTCAGAGCCTCCAAGGGGCTTTGGCGGGGGTTCCACCTTTAAGTCCTCTTCTTCATCCCCATAGAGAAACTTCTCCTCATCCTCAATATCAGGAAAGCTTCGTCGCCTTTTTTCCTGTGTCCCAGTAGAATCTGCCAATATGCTCAAAATGCGTGAAAATCCACTGCCGTCTTGGTTAGCCCTTTCATGGGGCAGCAAAAAGTCTGTGTGTCGCTCAGGTACCTCCGTCTTCACATCCAATTTCTCCTTGTGGTAGACAAAACTTCCCAAATTTTCTCTGAGAGGACTGTTGCCTTTGGGCAACCCAGGAAGGGGACCCCATTGGTAGAGGTTGTCTTGAGGTTCCTTCAAGGCCGTCTCCACTATAGTCCCCTTGGGGTTCTCAATTTCTGAGGCAAAAGCAGCTATTGCACCACTAAGTGGAAGAGATGGGTGTCCGGCATAGAAGGTGGGATCCTGACAGGAGCTGGTACCGCTGGAAAATCTCTCAAGCTACAAAAACAAACACAACTGATTTAGTCCTTCCTTATACAGAATCTCAGAAGACCAATAACTGAGAGAAATTCTTTTATTCTGTTCAAATAGGAGAGAGATTAAGTATAGAGGGAAAGGAGGGACAGTGTTCCTAGGCAAGGTTAAGATCTGGGTACCTATCTTTCTATCTATTTCTGCTGTAACAAGGGGAAATTAGAAAATGAGGCAAACTGGAGTGAATCTTTGCTTTTACCGATCTGTCTTAGTCATTATCAAGGCATCTAAATGAAAAAGGACTTTAGGGACCCTTAAGCTTATTTCTACTGTCAATTCCCAACAGAGAAAACATAAAAGTTTGCTTGTTTATTTAAGCAGACATACCATCTAACTGGAATGCTACCTAACTTTGTCAGTTTCCCTCTACTTCTTTTGTAAGTATTCATGGACAATTTTTCAAGAAGCCATTTTAGCTTATAAGGGCACAGTTGAAAACAAGTCTCCTTGGTTGAGCACTTTTCCTATCAAGGTCCAGATGGTGAGGTAATTTTATAAAATTTAAAAAAAAAAATCACACAGCAAGCTGGTGGCAGAGGTAGGTCCTGAGTCAGAATCCCTCATTTCTGGTCTATGCCCTACCGCCGTTCATACATGTCATCTTATCTCTAAAGAGAGATGAAGAAACTCAAATTGCTTCTTTCCTTTCCCCTCAAAGTTCCATTTTCAAGAAATCTATATTCAAAGATCCTACAGGACTATTCAGTTTGGAGGGGGGTAAGAGAAATCTTAACAGTAGCAACTATACAGAACTTCTGTTTTGAAAGCCTATTTATGGCAATGGAAGTTTCCTAATGACACATTATTAGGTCTAGCATTCCCTTTAGGGAGTCTTGGAAGGTGGCGCTCATAGGCATGATACCATGTGAGACAAAGGCCCCAACAAAGCATGTAGACTTTTTGATTTTTTAAAAGCATGCAGAATTTTTTTTTTTAAAAAAGCATGCATAATTTAAGATATCAAGAGACTCAGAAGAAATACTAGAGACCTGCATAGAAGGCTCCATATCTGCCTCGATCCGCTTCTTCAGGATGGACTTCTTAGGCATCAAAGCTATTTCTTCAGGTCGATGCAGAGAATATCCTGGCTCTGATGCTGGCAGGACACTTGACAATCCAGGGATGGGGCAGCTAGAACCACCATTGTCCACTCCCACCAGATCCTGACTCAAGCTCCTACTTTGTTCCTCTTCCTCTCGCTTTCGTCTAGCCAGGTCCAGCTCTCTAAATTCAGGATCTAGAAATCGAGGGCTTGGGCTCCGTCTACGCTGTCGGTAATTTCGGGTCCCAGGTGTAAAACTAAAGTGTGTCCCTCCAATGCTGTGTATCTTTTCTGTGTCATCGTAACGGGGCCGTTTGGCCTCCCGGCTTCTCTCCTCAGATTGTATAGAATAGGAGCCTTTGTGTTTGTCTCTGTTTAGGTCTGTGCTGTGTAACAGTTCGTCGTGACAACTGATGTGAGGGTTGTAATCAGATTGATGCAGGAAAGTTTCTCTTGTTCGGTAGTCTTCATCAAGTTGTCCCAAGAAGGAACTAAGAGGCCCTTCCTCTCGAGAAATATATCGCTCAAGACCTCGAGAACATTGGGAGCTTCGGGTGAAGACAGAATCATCAGTGAGGTCATCCCTGGGGAAAAGAGACAAGCATCACTGAATATAAAGGACCTGACAAAGGACGACTAAACAAGGTCAAGAAATTGACATTTGGCAAAAGGGGCTTTAGAAAGTTTAGGGCAAAACAAAATAATCACAAATTTCAAGACACAAAAAAAAATCTATCTATCTTATCTATGTCTCTGTGGGACAGTTTATATTCATTTCCCCAGGGCTACAAGCATCTCTCTTTCTAACCAAGGAGAAATAATACCAGTGAAGAGTTCTTAGGAAAGGACAATCTCTTTGATTGGACTTTGGGGATATAAAGTATCAAGGTATGGCTTGGGAGATATGAAAACAACACTAATATAATACAAAGAGCTTCAGGTTACACAATTTCACACTAAGTAAGTTTAAATTCTAGCTTCTTTCAATTCAAAGCATGGTCTAGGTCATCAGTAGTACCTGGAAATTTTTAGAACTGCATTCACTAAAGACATACTGAATCAGAATGTATATTTTTACAAGGTTGTCAGTTCATATGAATTTAGTCTAGCTCGGTGGTTTTCATCACAAAGATTCTCAACAGGCTCAGAAGCTGTCTCAAGGAAGGAGGCAAGGTAGGACTCTGGGCCAGGGACTCCACTTAAATAATAGTAGTTCCAAATTATTCTACTTATTAAGGTTCTATGTAATTTTTCATTTGGAAAGAGAGTTTTTCTGGGAGAAAAAGATTAAAATACTGATTAGCATGGTTTTCTCAAAAGTTTTAAAAGAATAAAGACTCTCTGTCTTGAGCCTTAAATAGAGATTCACCTCACAAACAAAGGGCCTTTTTCTCCTTATCTCCTTTCAAGGAGGAAGGTCCGTCCCTTTGCAGATGTAACTTTTTAATAAATCTATCATTACTATTTACCCTAAAAAAAATGATGCTTTGTCTTGCTCATGTATTAAAGGTTACAAAATTCTGTGTTTTGTCACACTCTTTCCAGCCTTGTTTGTATCTATATGCTGCTAATATTAAACTCAGGAAAGAGTAAGTCATTTACTCTTATTATTTTTATCTCATAAAAGTAAAAAGGTCTTAACTTTGTGCCATGGAGACAAATATAGGATGGGGCATATGTCCTTTCAGCTCAGAACTGTTAAGCCACACACAAAATCCTAAACTTTTTGTGCATTATGTCCACAGAACTCACATGTCCCCCAAAAGAGAGTTTCTGACTTAAGCTATAAATAGAAATAAAGATCCTCCAGCAGCTTTGGCAGCTTAGTGGTAAAGAGCTGTTCTATTAACCCAAAGGTAGGCACTCAATTCAAATCCATAGGTCCCTCCATAGGAGAAATATCGGCAATCTCTTCCCATGTGCAATTTAACATCTCCGAAAATCTGCGGGAGGGTCAGCTGTGTTGTTCCTACTCAGCAGTTCAACAACAAAAGCACTTTAAGCATACAGCTTTTAAGAAATTGGAATGAAAAGTTAAAGTGTCATGTCACTCAAAATCCAGAATAGCAATTACCATCCAGAGGATAATTATTAGTGTCTTCTTCTAGCACCCAATTTTTGGTATTGAGTTGTGAATAGTAAGAAGTGTTTTGGTTTCTGCATAGTTGTTTTCCTATCTCTGTGGTACAAAGTTAGCAAAAGAATGAAAAGTCACTCTTCTTGCTCACCTGGACAATAGCTATGAACAACTCTAAGAAAAATTATCAAAGGTAAACTTCATTACTTCTTTTTACAAAGAATGCTTCCTTTGAGAATCCAAGGTCCCTGTTACCCACCGCCTCCCCAAGAATCTGGAGAATTCTGAGGTTTCGATGTAGTACAAAATAGAATCTATAGAAAGCATCGAAATAAAAGATTAATAGTTCCCAGAAACTAGGAGAGGGGAAAGTGAGAAGTTACTACTTAATGACTTACAGATGCACTTCAGAGATACTGCAAGTTCCAGACCATCAAAATAAAGTGGTTATCACAATAAAGTGAATCACGTAATTTTTGGTTTGCAATTTATACACAAATTATTTATGATACAATAGTCTATTAAGTATGCAGTAACATCATAAAAAAGGTTTAAAAATCAGGGAGCTCTGGTGACCTAGTGGCAAGAAGCTGGGCTGCAATTCTGAAGGCATGTGGTTCGAGTTCACCAGATGCTCTGCTGGAGAAAGGAGGGGCAATCTCCTCCTGTACCAGTTGGATCCAATTTGACAGTATACATACACACACAAAATAATAATAATAAAATAAATTTTAAAAAAAAGTTTTAAAAATCTCTCCAAAATGTGACACAGGGACATGAAGTCAGCACATGCTATGAGAAAAATGGTGTCAGAAGACTTGCTTATTAAAGCAGGGTTGCCACAAGCCTTCAACTTGTAAAAAATGCAGTGAAGTACAATAAAGTGATTTACAACATATGGAAATATGCCTGAACTAAGTTTCTGCTTGGGTGATGAAAAAGGTTGCAAACAGACTCTAGTGATTCTCAACACTGTGAATATAATTAATGTAATTGACATTAAAGAGCTAAAATAGCAATTTTTATGTTATATATATATCACAGTATTTTAAAAATGTAATTATAAGAGATTGTCTGGTTCCGTAGGACTACTGGTTGTAAACGTCATTATTCTCAGAAGTCCAGAAGTCAAGTTACTTCATTGTTGAAGCACCATGTGCCATACAAAGAAGTCTCTGGACCACAATGTTTGTTGTTAGCCATTACCAAGTTACGTACGATTCATAGTGATCCTCTGAAAAAAAGAACTGAACCTACTCTATCCTGTGCCACCTTTATCAGCTCTGACATACCTAAGTTCATGGTTCTAGTCATTGTATCAATTCATCTTGGTGGGGGTCTGACCAAATAGGTGTGAAGAAAAACATGGACTCTATGAATAGTGGCAAATTCATCTACAACCCCCTGGATACAAGTATTACATGACTACTAAATGACACACTAACATTAGATCAAGAACTAGTCTAGCAAAAAAAAAAAAAAAAGAACTAGTCTAGCATTAAATACCAAAATGCTAGACATGAGATGACCCTCAGAAAGTCTCATTTCTGATCTGTAATCTCTAGTCCTCTAGTACTGAAGAGCAAAGATGTCAGTCTGGAGACTAATATGTGCCTGGTCCAGGCCATGGTCTTTGCAATTATGTGTTATGCATCAGAAAGCTGGACAAAGACTAGGGATGATAGAAGGAGAATAATTGATCCCTTTGAGCTGTGGTGATGGAGAAGAGTACAGAATATACTATGGACTGCTAAGAGAACAAACAGGTTTGTCCTAGAGAGGGTGAGACCAGGCTGCTCCTTAGAGGCAAGGATTCTGAAGCTCCATCTGACATACTCTGGGCATATTGTTAGAAGGAACCAGTCCTTGGAGAGAAATAGCATGCTTGGGAGGGTGGAGGGACAGCACAGTAGAGGAAGATCCTCAATGAGATGGACTGACTCAGTGACTGAGGTAACAGGGGTAGGTGTGTCAGAGACAGTAAGATTGGCTCAGGAGCACAGTTTAGAGCTTCTGTACTAGGGATGCTATGAGTCGCAGGTTACTTGACAGCACATAACAACAATAGTAAAATGAGGCCAAAAGACAAAGGGCGAAATAACAAGAAGGAAGGAAAGAAAGAGTTAAAAGAATGAGTTCTAATGTAAGTAAAAGCAAAAACCAGGTCTCACCTAACAGCTCATATCTTCTTTCCTCAAAACTCCCAAAAGACAGAAACAGTGAGCTTGAAAAAAGAGCCCCCGTCTTGTGGCACCAGGACAGTCCAAACAGCCTTATCTCTGAAGGCTTTGTTAGGTCCAATTCTTTCCTAAAATAAAGGCTATCTTTCTTTTTTAAAAAATGACTGTTCAATGTAGATATACGTAGGCTCACAGTGTTTAAAATTTTCCATTAAAACAAACTTAAATATGTAAATATACACTACTGTTGTTAGGTGCCATGAAGTATGACTCATAACAATTCTATGAACAGATCTGAACCTTGTCTTATCTTGTGCCATCCTCATCATCTTCTACACAATTAAGCCCACTGTTGCAGTTATCATGTCAATCCATCTTGTTGAGGGTCCTTCTCTCTTTTGCTGACCCTCCACCTTTCCAAGCATGATATCCCTTACCAAGGATAGTTTCTTCTAGAAACATGACCAAAATCCATAAGATAAACTTTCACCATCCTTGCCTGCAAGGAGCACTTTGGTTACACTTTTCTAAGACATTTTTTTTTGTTTTTTTTTTTTTGCAATCCATAGGATATTCAGTGCTCTTCTCCAACACCACAGCTCAAAAGCATCAACTCTTCTTCTGTCATCCTTATTAAGTTCTCAGATGCATACATAGCAAGTGACTAAAAAGACCATAGCTTAAATCAGATGCATCTTAGTCCTTAAAATGACATCACTGCTCCTCAATAATTTGGAGAGATGCCTGACAGCACACTTGCCCAATGCAATATACCTCCTGACTGCTGTTACCAACGGTGTTGACTGTGTATCCAAGTAAGAGGAAATAGTTGATAATTTTAGTTGATAATTTCAACCTTTTTTTACATCTATCATGATGTTGTCTATTGGTCCAGCGGTGAGAATTTTTGTCTTCTTGATGTTAAGATGCAATCCATATTCCAAGTCTGCACTCTTTGATTCTTTGCAGTAAGTGTTTCAAGTCATCCTACCTTTGAGCAAACATAGCACAGGTTGTTGATGAGTCTTCCTCCGATTCCAGTATCACATTCCTCTTCATAGAGTCCCGCTTAATGAATGATTTGCTCAAGAAACAGACTGAATAGATATGGAGAAAGGATATCATCTTGGCATACACTTTTTTTAATTTTAAACCATGCAGTGTTCTCTTGTTCTGCTCAGACAACAGCTTCTTGGTTTAGGTATGTTGTTGTTGTTAAGTGCCATCAAGTTGTAGGCGACTCATAGCGACCCTATAGGTTTCACATAACATAATTAAGTGCTTTGGGATTCCCATTCTTCTCAATGTTAGCCATAATTTGTTATGA